CACTGATTGGAGAGAAGGGTGGAAGTGGTAGAGAGGGCTGCGCAAGCAGAAAAGCGAGCGTAAGCGAGCATTTGATGCTTGTCTGAATAGTGACATAACTGACATTTGAGTCAAATGGATTTTTTTAGTGGAAAAGCTTAATTCCACGTAGTAACTTACTCATTATAGACAACACGCTAATTAGTTACACTAGTTTTAATGCAGTTAGCATATTATTATATATGAGTTAGTCAGTCTGGCTTTCAGACTCACAGATCCCGCAACATTCTCAGCTAGAAACCCTCTCTGAAGATAGAGTCTCTTAGAGTATAGAAGCTCCTTGAGTAAAAAGATCCCCGGGTATAGAGACTCTCAGGTATAGATATCTCTGAGTATAGAGGCTCTCAGATGTAGAAACCTTCAAGTATAGAAACTCTCAGAAGATCAGACTGCAGGTATAATCTTCATTACTCACTCTCTCTCAGAACTCAGACTGATCATCTTCATGATAAGATCTCAGAATCATTTGTCAATATTATCTCACATGAAGAACAGTTTTCTTGAGTTCTCTAATAAGAACTTCTTGATCACATTCAGAACAAGGTCTTATCACTGTGTAGCATCATAATTCAAATGCTTCATAATTCAAATACTTAATAAGACTTATCAGCTCTAAGCTATTCTCAAAATGTAAGAGCAGTGGCTTGCAACTAATCTTTCCTTCTTCTCTTCAGTCAATTTTTCTAAATCATTGTGAAAAATAATCTGCTGAAACATCATAATTGTCACGCTCCCGGCCGCGCCAAGGCCCCGTTGCGGTTCCACACGGCTCATCGCTTCCATGCGGATGATTTCATCTCATCTGAACCGGTTTCCAACCACTCTATAACATCATTCGGATATATCATAGAAAGATCTGATTGATGAATATAAGAACCCTGCTTCTATATGAGGTCAGCAGATTACTCTTCCTTGACAATAAGATGCTGCTGAGGTATTACTCCAGTTATTCTCACTCATGAAATGAGAGAAGAGTATTCACTCATTATCTATATAGAATAGCTAGATGCTGACTTCTCATCAAAGAAATCAGTGATTTGTTTTACTTCTACTGAAATATATATAAGAGTTACTACATGTCTCATACAATCTTCTTAGTATATTAAGTATCATATCTGTGATATTCTCATAATAACTCTGTAATCTATAAGCTCACTATTCAAGTAAGATAGTTAAGCTCACTTATACAGCTTCTCAAACAACTATCTTTACATATTACTGCTGACTAGTCATCACTTCAGTTCTATTATATTACAATTCAAATCACTTAATCTGATTATAAGTTTGAATCAGTCAAGCTTTAATAGACTGATATAATCTTATATATCTGCACTGAGACTGATCTGATCTCACTCTCTGAGAGAAATACTATATCATTTTCTAGAGTGTATATATCTCTACTTTAGCAGAAATCTGAGATTTCTGAACTCACTGTATATTTTAATATAGACTCTTCAATTATTCTGTTATCACTGCAGTCTCTACACACCTACATCTATTATAAAGATAGAGAGATTAAGATTGAAGATTCATCAAGATATAAGGAAAACATCTTGTCAGAATTTCACAGCTTTACTCATACTCTTGAATGAAAATTCTGTCTTAATTCAAGCCAGTATAATACTTATAAGATATAAGTAATATACACTGTTAATCTTCTTGAAGACATCTCTGTAACTACTTGAGTTATCAAGAAAAGAGAGCTTAAGTGTATCAATACTATCATGACTTGAAAAGAATTCAAAAACTTTCTACTGAACTAAATTAAAGATCACTACAACTGCAGCTTCACAGTGATATAGCAGTTCAACTCATTATATTAATAAGATAATGAGAATTGTTTCAATTTCAATATAAGATTTAAAGAATATTAAGAGAAACTGACTAATGATTTAAATCAATTAAAAACATAACTTTATCTTATGAAGCTGACTTATAAGATGCAGATAATAATATTATAATATCAGAGTTTATTAATCAATTACACTGAGCTTGTTAACCTGACTTCTCAGATCTATTTGAATAATTAATTCTTCAAGAAAAAGATTAATAACATCTCTTCTAAGTAATTAATAATAGAATCTAAACAGTATCATGACAGCTTCAGTATAGAGAAAGTAAAAAAGAATTCTAAGTATTCTGATTCTTCACTCACTGTAAAGAAATATTAAAAAAGATTTAATAAAAATCTCTGTTTTAACTGTGAAGCTGATGATCACTATATCAGTAATTATAAGAAGCTGAAGAAGAAAAGAAACTGAGAAGATATCTTCTCAAAGTTAACTTCTCTTCTGATAAACATATCTGTGAAAGATAAAGAAGAGAAAGAAAAGAATTGATAATTCTCACATCTTCAAGTTCATATTACAATCACAATATATACTCTAAATGAGAAGATATCAGTGAGATGTCTACTTAACTTCAGAGTAAATATCAACTTCATATTCTATTTCTTTTCTTTGATAAAGAGTTGAAAGAAGATAGATTTATCAGATCATGTAAAATTTACTGATGAAATAAAATATCATTATTTTAACATAATTTAAGCAAAGTGTGTGATCACAGACTTAGAAGAAATCTTTAAGAAGAGCAGTCTGCTTCTCCATGCAGTTAATATCATAGATAAGAACATTATTCTAGATCTCTTATAATTGAGAGAAAACAATTCTCTCATTGACTGAGTCACTCAGATGTGATGATATTATCTCACTAATAAAGAGACAGTAATAGAGAAATCTGAAGAGTTTTATCAGAAGAATCTTGAGAAAAAGATTAAGTCAATATACTGCATAGCAGATGATTGAGACTTGAGAACAGGTGAAGAAGTCATCACTCTCACTGCAAGATTAGCAGCAGTATTTATTATTGAAGACAGATGTATACAACATCTCTTTACAGATTTTAAGAATATCTTTTTAGAAAGAAAAGCAGTGAAGTTTTCTGACATCAAGATATAATATAAGATTTATCTTGAAGATAGTGTAACAGTGCTGTACAGATCTCTTTATAACTTGTCTGTAAAGAAGTTGAATATTCTGTGTAAATATCTTGAAGAAGTGAAATCAAAGAACTGAATATATTTATCAAAGAGTTCAGCAGAGATGTCTATACTCTTTATACTCAAGAAGAATGATAGACTACATCTATGCATAGACTACAGAGGCCTCAATAAAATAATAGTTAAGAATTACTTTTCATTACTATTAATTAATAAGATGATCAATCAATTATCTGAAGCAAAGATATTCTTAAAGATTAATATATAAGATATCTATCATAGAATCAGAGTTAACAAAGACAACATTTGAAAAACAGCTTTTCATACCAAGTACAGCAATTTTGAATATCTTGTTTTATCTTTTAATCTTTGTAACACTTCAGTCATCTTTCAGATCTATATAAATAAGACACTGCAGAGCCTTGTTAACATCTTCTACATAGTATATCTGAACAACATTTTAATCTTCTCAAAATCAGAGAAAGAACATGATATCCATGTTCAAGAAGTGTTGAGTTGCTTGAGACAGCATCAACTCTATGCAAACACTGAAAAATGCTCATTCTATATACAGAAGATTGATTTCTTAGATTATATTATTGAAGTGAATGACATTTCAATGAACAGAAGTCAGGTCTCTGTTATTGAGAACTGGCCAGTGCCGCGAATGTACTGTGAGATGCAGGTGTTTCTAGAATTTGTGAATTTCTACAGATGATTCATCTATACATATTCACAGATTACTGCCTCTCTTACAGATCTGTTGAAGAGAAGTGTGAAAGACAGAAAAACAGAATCATTTATTCTCACTCAAGACACTGTGCAGGTATTTGTGAAATTGAAACAAGCTTTCACAGATGTCACAATACTGAATCATTTTAACTCTGACTTACTCAGTCAGTGTGAGACTGATATATTCAGGAATAAAATCTGTGAAATCTTTTCACAGTTGATACTGAAGGCCTTTCAACATTGAAAGAATCAGAGAATAATCACTTTTGAGAAAATAAACAATGAATTGTCTGTGAGAGAAGACTTTTTCATAGAGTCTATAAGACACTGTAAATGAAGATCAGTGACCTTCTTCTTCAAGAAGTTATCACTCATACAGAGAAGGTATGATACTTATAATCAGAAGATATTAGCAATTGTCAAATTCTTTAAGATCTGATAACATTATCTTCAGAGTAGTAAGTACTCAGTGTAAGTTCTCACTGATCATGCAAATCTGCATTACTTCTTGACAACAAAGAGCTTGACAGAACATTAAGTCAGATGAACAGAGCTGCTTTCAGAGTATAATTTCTATATTCAATATCATTCAGATTGGCTTAACCCCGTCAACACACTGTCTAGATGACTCAATTATAATATCATTGATATGAAGAAGAATTCTATAAAAGAATCTCTGTTATCACTGCAGAAGAAGCTGGCTGCAGAGGGTTGAGATTCTCTAAAGCTCAGAAACAGTGCTGAAGAGACAGCTGTGTAACTCAGTATAGAAGGTGAAAGAGAATCTGAGTCTCTGCAGAAGACTGACACTGAAGATCATGAGCTTCTCATATTATATCTTACAATTATTGAATTGACAAATAATGAAACAGTCTACAATCTTTCAACTTAACTACTTTTGAAATTCATTGAAGAGTTATAGAAGAGAGATATCTCTACTACAGCTCAAATTCAAAAGTTAAAGAAGAAAGAATCTGATTTGAACTTGAAAGAGACAGACTCTGAGCAGAGCAGTGCTGCTAAGAAATCAAGTCACTGATAACTAGAAGAATATAAACTTCTACTGCTGAATGATTCAGTCTTCATCTCTTATAGCAGAGTGATGCATCAGAAGTTATTGAGAATTCATCATAATAATTCTTATGCAGGACACTTCAGATTAGAAAAGACTGAGAAGCTTCTAAAATATAAATATATTTAAAACAAGCTTCAGACAGATGTCAAAGAGTATATTGAAACTTGTAATATCTGTTAAAGAATAAAGATCTCACAGTATAAGTAATACAGTGAGTTGATATCACTGTCTGTTTCAAAGAACTCATGACAGAATCTATTAATAAATTTCATAGTTGACCTGCTAAAGTCAACAAGAGTCAAAGAATATAACTCAATTTTAATTATTATTAACTACTTCACAAAGATGACCAGATATATCTCTACTTATAAAAAGATTAAAGCCTCTGAATTGACTGACCTGTTTTTAGATATCATCATTCATAATCACAGTGCTCTGAAATCATTGATAACAGATCAAGAATCCCTCTTCATCAGCAAATACTGGTCAGCTTTTTGCTATTATCTTATAATAAGATGTCTTCTCAGTACTGCATTTCATCTGCAGACTGATGATCAGACTGAACATCAGAATCAGACACTAGAACAGCATCTTCAAGCATTCTGTTCATATTATCAGAATGATTAACTCAAACATCTTCTAATCACTGAATTTGTATATAATAATGCAAAGAATACAACCTTAAAGATATCTTCTTTCTATACTTGTTATGAATATAATTCTTCATTACTCAGTGACATCACAGATGATGTTTCAAAGAGAGAGATAGACAGTCAGAATATCAGACAGATACAGAGAATAAAGTATCTCTCAGTACTAGAAGTAAAAGTGAGATTGAAACTTTTGAACAAAATTCATGAGAAGATGATAAAAAGCATTCATCATACTCAGAAGTAGTAGATGAAATACTATAATTGAAAACATCTTCTGATGAAGTTCTCAATAGAGGATTAAGTGCTACTTTCAGCAAAGAATATCAAGACAATGAGATTATATAAGAAGCTCAGTGAGCAGTGACTAGAATCTTTCTCAGTAACAAGAGTGATGAGTAAGCAGGTATATGAGTTGAAATTACTCACAGAATTGAAATCAATTCATTCTGTTTTTCACATTTTCTATTTAAAGCTCTATAAGCAACACTCTGAGATGAAGCTGTCTTGATCAGATGACATCAAGATCAAGAGTGATACTGAATATCTTGTGAAGAAAATATTGAACAAGTGAACACATTACAGCAAGCTTTAATATCTCATTAAATGAGAAGATTATTCATTATCAGAGAATTTATAAGAACTGCTTGAGTATTTAAAAAATGCTGAGAAAGAGATTGTAGCGTACGCCGCTACGTAGGGTCAGATATAAGGGTAAAAACTTGTCTTATTCTCTTAAAGATGGGAGATAGGCGTATGCTCTTATATATACAGTGATTGTTCTATAGAGATTAGCTCTTGTAGAAGAGGTGATTGCCTATGAAGAGAAGAACAGAGGCTCTGTAGAGAAGGAGCAGATGCTCTCATAGAAGAAGCAATCGCATATGAAGGGAAGAGCAGAGGGAGAAGGTAGAAGTGAAAGCTTCAGAAAACAGCAAGGAATGAAGTGAAAGCTAGAGCTGGATAGAAGATTGACTTGGATAGAGAGTGAAAGCATGCCACAGTCCCTCTATTCAAAAGAATGCATTTGTGAAGAAGAAAAAAATGATGTTGAAAAAAGGTGGCAGGTATTGCAGGCGCTAGGCTCAAAGAAGCGGATATTGTTCAGAAGTACTAGTCTGTTTATATATGCTGCAGATATCATAGAAAAGAAGAGACTGAGTGATAGAATTGCTTATTCATATAAAGAGTGATCAGATGTAAGAATTGTTTGTCTCTACAAAGAGTAAAAGATGTAAGAATGACTTGAAAAGAAATGATAAGAAAGAGACAGAAGTTCTTTAATCTAAAAACAGCTGTAAGAAAAGAAAGGAATTGTAAAGAAATCACAAGAAGCTTGAATGAGAAAGGGTTCTTTGATGAGATAGATGAGAGTGAAAGTTTCATTATGACAGAGGAAAGGTTCTGTGAGTGATAGAGATTGATGTAGATGAATAATTGCATTAATATATATATTGCAATCACTTTCTTCTTATTCTTCTCTTATTTCTCACACATCTCACTAAAATTTAACATAGCAGAATTAGTGAAAATCACGACATACAGAAGATTAGATCATGGAAATGATGAGTCTTAAGAAGAAGTTAACAGCTGTGAAGACAGGCGCAGCAAGTATGGTGAAAAAGGTCTTGACCTTAGAGAAATTATTCCAGTTGTTAAGTCAGGAGGAGCATGATACCCTTCTTCATATGAGTGATAAAGAAGAGAAGGCAGATGAGAAGATCAGTGAAGAGAGAATAGATGAGAATGAGATGAAAGAAAATAATAAAGATAAAGAGTTAGAATTTCAGACAGATAAGCTTCTGACACTATTAACTTATCTTTTCATGTATAAAGTGGTCAAAGACTAAGATAAAGGAAAGGCAGTGACACCTCATTATCACTTAGCTAGGCTGTATGATGCCACTGCAGAAGAGTCAACAGATGAATCACATGACAGAAGCTCAAAGAGTTAAGAAGAATTTAAAACTGTGATGTGAAAGCTTATAACACTGTTTACTCATTTGAAAAAGTCATAGCTGTTCACACACTGGTTTTTGAAAGAAGACATTGAGATGAATGAGAGGAGAGAGAGTCAGAAGACTGCTGTGAGAGCAGCTGATGATAAAGAGCTGTAAGTAGAACTGAAAGCAGAAGCTGAACAGACAGATATGAATACTGAAGAACTGTCATCAATGAAAGAGAATAAGAAGTGCTGAAGAGCTAGTCAGAAGCAATATGAGACTCTGAGTGATGACATTTTAAGAAAGTCAGAGTGAAAGAAGAACATCAAGGATGATCAGGTGTCTTGACTGTATGACACAGTACATATGAGACATCTGTATTATGATAACAAGACTGACTTGTACTTTCAGCAGAATGGCAAGCTCACTCACCTGAGCATGTCAATCATACAGAACCTGACTGTGAAGAGGCTTACAGATACTATCTCAATCATTGAAAGACTCACAGAATGTAGTGAGAAGATGCTATTTATCAATTGTGAATTTTTCATTTTACTCAGTCAGTAATTGATTAAAGATTTGAGACAGTTATCTGTCAAGTGAAAGTTACACTGATGAATAAATAATGATGAGCTAATCACTTCATAGACTGTTGATTCTAAGGATTCTGCTAATCAGAATGTCATTATTCTGCAGACTCACAGAGAAATAGCTTCTGTGTTATATCAGTGTTGTGTGAAGAGTCAGAGATGATTTAAGAAATGTGTGATTACTTCTGCAGATGACAAACAGACACAGCAAGGGCATAGCACTTGTATTAACTGTCAGTGAGAAAATAAGAGATTCTACTGCTCTTTAAATCACTATAGCTGATATAAACTCAGATGAAACACAGATAACTTGCTGTTTAAAGAGAGTGTGCCTGGATTTGAAAAGACTGTGACTGAGAAGATAAATGTTAATGACATTGTTAAGGTCAGTGATACAGATAAGAAGAATGATTCAACTATAGTTTCAATGAAGAGAATATCTACATCTTTCAAGTGTAAGGTGTTGAGTCTGATTGCACTGAAACTCTCAAAACATGTTTGAATCAGTGAGCAGAGTATCTCAACATCTGTGAAGACAGGCAGTGAGGTGAAGACAAGTCATTCAACCCCTGCTAAGATGATCAACAAGGTCAAGATAAGTAATGTGTGATGATTGTCAATTCTGTCTTCTGAAGGCTGTATGATTGATTGTAAAGCTCAAGATCTGAAGATGCTGAGACAGCCATCTAATCTTAACAAGCATAATCTGAATGTCATTCAGACTGTGTGAAAGAAACTGAACAAGATAGCTGAGTTTATCAATATGATTTCAGCTGTGAAGAATACTGTGATCAATAATTGTTTCTTTAAGTTGCTCAGCAGGGTGTGTTTCAGCAATCTTGTGAATGAGAAGTTGTCAGCAGATGTTGCATTTTAGAATGCATGTCTCACTGAACAGGAGGTCAAGCTGCAGAAAGAGCTTGAAGATGATTGATGAGAAGAGATAAGATGAAATGATGAAAAGAGTGAAAGATAGTAATTTTCTTGTTTTCTTTGTTTTCTCATTTAATAGCTAAAATTAGATTGTAATACATTTTCTTTCTTTCTTTCACTCTGTCTCTATTTTACTTTTCTTTCTATTATTTACTCAGCTGACTGCAAGACTTCTTAGTCATGAAGACCTTGATCAGATGCAGAGTGTCTTGTGTAATGACTTCAAGAGACTCTCAGATTGAGTCTTCATATCTCTTTCACTTAATCTGAAGATAAGTCTTGCTGTTCTCTGTGTGCTTTCTTATGATGTTTTCAACTTCAAATTGTAACTGATCATTAACAAGTACTGATTCTGATAATGAGTGCTTCATATTCACTTCTGTTAATATGATCTTTTTCAGATGAATGATGAAGATTACTGAGTACATTTATTAACTAACTAATAGTTTCAATTGAAATACAGTATCTAATACTTTCTGAAGAATATGAAATGAGCCTATCTGTAAGAGTGATAGCTTGAATATTTCTTTTAATGTATAGCTCTTTTGAGCTTTTTAAGTGAGGTTCAAGAAGACTCAATCATCAATCTGAATAGTTAGTTGAAAATGAAATTGATCAAAGAACTCAGTCATTCTAGCTTTTATTAGAGTGTATGAGTCAAGAATATCTTGCTGCACTGCATCTCACATGATAATGAACTCAGCTACATCTAGCAGAGCTTTCTCATTATTCAATGACAGTCATCTAGACTTTACACCTGTGAGCAATTTGAAGAGAGAGATCATTGCTGACTGTGCAGCTACTGAGTTCAATACTCTTTTCACTTGTTTAAGCAGAGCAGTTCAATTTGTTTCATATTCATCTATAAGAAGTGTTTACAATGTGACTTTAACTGTGAGATTGATTCACTCACTTTGACTGTTTGAGTGAGAGTTGTAGACAGTTATCATTCATGCCTTAATTCTCATAAGTTGAAGAACTGACTTTCAAAATTGTGATGTAAATTTGAGATCTCTATCTGAAATAATCATCAGTGAGAGCTGTCAGTGACAGATCATCTTCTTATAGAAGTCTTTCACTCATTATAAAGCATCTTATTATTTCTATTCTACAATTAGAATTACTGCTTTTGAAAATTTGTCTGTGACTGTTAATATAGTATCATAATTATCACTCACAGATAATCCTGTAATAAAATCAATCAAAAGAACTTCAAATGACTGTTTTAAAGATAAGATGAGATATAATTTACCCCCTGATGAGTGATTCAGCAGTTTGACTAGTTGACAATTGAGACATTGTAATAGATGGTCCAGGATTCTCTTTCAGACATGAGAAAGAAAGAAGAACTGATGAATAAGGTTTTCTATTTGATGAAGATCAGAGTGATCTGCTGCATTGTGACACATACAGATGACATCTTATGCCAGTGATTTGAGAATACAGAGACATGATTCTTCAAAGAATAATAGCCTGTCCTGCACTGTAAATGACTGATATCACTCTTTCTAGCTGGCCTTGTGAAAGACCTTTCTCAATGCCGGGTTGCAGGAAATATCTCAGTGTAGTTGCTTTTTGAATTCATCAGTGAGCTCTATTACTGTAGTTGAAACCATATATATCTTCACTGAAGATGCATCTATCATCAGTTCATCTGCCTGATTGATGATAATCTGGCAGATTTTTTTCTACTCTTCAGAGAGAATCTCTTCTGAATCATCATCTAGACAGTGCAATCTGAATAGAGTGTCAGCATTAGCATGTGTGATGCTCTTGCAATAGCAGATTGTCATTTGTGAAAGATATGAGCTTAGAACTAAGACTCAATTTGTCAGTCAGTTGCTACAATAACCTATTATCAGTGACTGAAAAGCAGATATAAGAGTGACATGATCTGTGATAACTGTAAACTCACTGTTTAAATACTGCAGTAATTTTCACAGGGCTCATATGAGTTTAAGACACTTTAATTCAGTTGCTCAGTAGTGCTTTTCAGCTGCACTCAATCAGTGAGAGAGAAATAGAACAGATCTTTCAATATTATTCATTCTGACTTGATGTAGAACTACTCTGATATCTCTTTGTTTACTGGTGTTCATATACAATATGAAGAAATGTTTAAAGTCAGAATATGCCTGAGTGAAGGCATTCATCAAGGCTTGCTTTATCATATCAAACAAATGTCTGACTTCTGTGAGCAGAGTGTGAAACTGTGATAAGTTCTCAAATCTCATCAACTTGATCTTAGCTGTATATAACACTCTTTTCTGACCTGTTTTTGAACTGTTATATAGTAACTTAATCTTGAGAGTCTCTAATGCTTTCATCTGATCTGTATAAAAACTGACAAAATCATGATAATAATTAAAGAGGCTGACAATTTCTTCTAGTTCTCTGAGTGTTATAGAGAAGACTAGATTAGTAATAGCAGCTACTTTCTCTTCTTGAGTAGATATATCTAGTCAGCTGACATGGTGACTCAGCAAACACACTGAGAAGTATATGAAATAATATTTAGTTAATGACATTGTTATTTCAGATGTCTTAAGAGCTGTGAAGACTTGCTGCATATGATGAAGATATTCATTCAGTGAGTGAGAGAAGATGATGATGTTATCTACATAGACTAACATGAATTATCATAGAAATTTCACTAGAATCTTCTTCATACACTGTTGAAAGAACTCAGGCAAGGTTGTCAATCTCATTGTGATAACTGTAAAATGTTCAAGATCTTGGTGTGAAGTCATGAATGTGGTTTTGAAATGATCACCCTGTTCAATTGCTTGTTAAAAGAAGCCTTAATAAATATTCATGAATGAGAATACTGTAGAACTGCTGAGTGATTGCAACACATCTTGTTATATTGATAGAGAGTATGCATTGAGGAGTAAGTATGTATTTACTTTTTACAAATCAATCATCACTCTCAGCTTCTCTCTAAGTCAGATTACAAAGATGAGTGAAGCAATGAGGTTTCTGTCTCTGAGAGAAACATGTTCAATTCTTCTATCTTACAGAAGTGAGTTCAGGATCTGATCAGCGGCTTCACAATCTCTTTGAGACAGAGAATAGAGTCTCTGTTTCAGGCTGGAAAAGTTGCTCTCATCAATGAACTGCAGTGACATCTTAACATCATCTGAAAATAAGTCTAGGCTGAAGCTAAATAGTTTGTGATGTCAGTTGATGATCACTTGAATAGCTGCTCAGTCTTCTGTCACTCAGTGATCTGATACATTCACTTAAACTCACTTAGTGAGAGTGTCTGCTGTGGGAATTTGAAGTGAATTATTCTGATCTTTCACATCTGTCAAATGTAATTTGATGTATGAGATAGAAAACAGGGGATCTTCTCAGTCAGAATGATAAATGATGTTAGCATTG